ACACGCACACGCACACGCACACGCACACGCACACGCACACGCACACGCACACGCACACGCACACGCACACGCACACGCACGCACACGCACACGCACACGCACACGCACACGCACACGCACACGCACACGCACACGCACACGCACACGCACACGCACACGCGCACGCGCACGCACACGCGCACGCGCACGCGCACGCACCACGCACCACGCACCACGCACCACGCACCACGCACCACGCACCACGCACCACGCACCACGCACCACGCACCACGCACCACGCACACACGCACACACGCACGCACACATGCACACACGCACACACGCACACACGCACACACGCACACACGCGCACACGCGCACACGCACACACGCACACACACACACACACTCACAGGTCGTTGAATGTAGGCACTCTTCTGGGACTGCCAGATCCCAGTTTGCCTTGAGCGCCGTCCTGCTCCCACGATCGAGTGGCTTCACCTTCTCCGTGCTCCTCAGGTGGCGGGCGGAGCCCAATCTACTGGGCGACCCTGCCAGATCAAGGGTACCCTCGTGTCCTGTGTTTTGCGACCCATGCCTCCTGCATGTTCTGTGGCAACGTGGCCCTCGGAAGGGTCCCGTGTCCTCCCGCGTGTCCTCGCCAATCAAGTCCGACTCTAGTTTCAACGCCTTCCTGCTGCATGTTTCTGCCCACGTCTTCCGACCGATGGGTATTCGTGAGTCGGGTCCGGAAGCGCGACGCGCACGCTCGTGCCCGATATACTTAGAGGATGTTGCACGCAGGGTCGGACGTGTGTCTCCAACAGAGGCATCTACTACGTGCGTGTCCCTGTGCCTCCCAACGGGGGGGAGGGAAGGGAAGGATGTGTGTGTGTGTGTGGTTTCGGTGGTCTGTGTGTGTGTGTGTGTGGTGTGGGGCCTCTCTACGGCTTCGGGCTCCGCCCGCGCCGCCCACTGAGTGTTTGGCTCGCAGTCCAGCGCCTGCAGCGTCTGGTGACAATCCATGCGAGTTCGCGCCCCGTTCTCGCACCCGCGATGGTGCCGTCACCTTGCCGGGGGAGGAAGGATTGTGTGTGCTGTGTGCCGTGTGTTGTGTGCTGTGTGTTGTGTGTTGTGTGTGTTGTGTGTGCTGTGTGTGTCGTGTTTGTGTGTGTGTGTTGTTTGTGTGCTTGCGCGCGCGTGCGTGCGTGCGCGCGTGTGCGTGGGGTCCCTGCCCCAGCTTCCGAGGGACCCGCCGCGCGCGCTCGCTGTCTGCCTCTTGGCCTGACCTCTCCCGTCTCGTCGCCGCGCGCGAGGCCGCGGTGCCTAAAGAATGTGCTGTGCGTGACCCGTCCCCCTGAGCGGCTCGCTCCCTCCGCCTCCTCTTTCGGCCGCCTCCCCTGCTTTCCCACTTCCTCCTGCATCGTGACACACTTCGCTGCGGAGGTATCCCCGTTTGGGCCCTGCCTAGCCGCCGACGCAGAAGTGTGTGTGTGTGTGTGTGTGTGTTTGTTCGTGTGCGTCTGTGTGTGTGTGCGTGCGTGCGTGCGTGCGTGCGTGTGTGTGTGTGTGTGTGCATGTGTGTGAATTTTCGTGTGTGTGTGTGTGTGTGTGTGTGTTCGAGTGTGTGTGTGTGTGTGCGTCTGTGTTTGTGTGTGTGTTTCTGTGCGTATGCGTATGTGCTTGCCCGGCGCGTTTCTGCACCCGCCTCCTGGGGGTCACGCCGTGCAGGGGGGGGGGTCCAGCGTGGCCGCCTCGTGCGCCCCCGCCTGGCCTGCGGTGGCAGGGGGGGGGGGCGCCCTCGCCAGGGGGCGGGGGCGCCATCCCGCCCCCTCCCCGGCATCGCGTCCTCCCAGTCGAGCATCAGGCGATCGCAAGCATGGATCAAGGGGGGCGTGGACTAGCGACGGGCCCCGTTTCCCTAGGGAATCGCAGATTTCCGCCGCCGAACAAGCGGCACCAGCCGCATTTGGGGGAGGGCACCTCCCCCGATCCATGGATTTGGCGACCGCGCGCCAAATCCATATCCATGAATCGCTAATCCATGTTTGCGCGCCCCCGAAAGCAGTGGCGGGAGGTCCTGGACTGCCCACAGGCTTATGATGGCCCAACCGACTTGAGCCTCGACCACCAGAAAGAATTTTGAGCATGTCGGGCCTTCGGAAGCGATATTATTTCGACATTGTTTCGATACTGTTGTCTGGGTGCTCGAAATTGTTTCTGGGATCCGGTCCTTAAGTACGATGAGCAACATAACCATCGGCCTCTAGAAGCGTGTTCTGAACTCAGGAGGGAGTAACACACACAGACACAACTCGTCGTCGATTCCCCCAGAAAATATGGGATAATACGGGGAAGGAGAGGCAACAATTCGCAAAACTGCAATCATACAGTGAATCCAGGGATGTGTGTTTATTGATGTGTGTGTCCTTGGGCCTCTTCATGAACACCCGGTATGGCTTGCACGAAATAGTCTTCGAACATCTCTGGCTGACGCCTATCTGTCTGGATACATCGGCTTCACGTTCTGAGAATGTCGATCTTTTCGAAGAAGAATACATGCCATAAACAAAAACTGTTGGCGCTCCGCGCGAATTTCTTGGATCTGCGCTGGGTCCCCTGGCGGCGCCTCCGGCGCCGCCCCTGGCGCGCTCCGCGCGCCATGGAGGGGGTCTTAGCGCAGATCCAAGAAGTCCGCGCGAAGCGCCAAGAGTCTACGTCGATGGCACCTTGTCTTCCTCAGCTTTGTCATGGGAGCACTCCTTTCTGTTCTGAGAACAGGTTTGTCCCGGGAGCACTCCTTTTAGTTACCAGCCTGGCACATATCCCTATCTCTATGCTGGGCACCTCCTCATCACGATGCCAATCTTCGGGATCCCCCCTCATTTTTTGAGGGCAAGTCCCCAAGATTGTCATCGCCTTTTGGCGTGTCAATCTTAGGGATAGGGATACGTTCGAGGCTGGTAATTTTTGGATAGGGACAAGACGTTATTTTTTGAGGGATCCCCCCTCATCTTTTGAGGGCGAGTCCCTAAGATTGTCATCGCCTTTTGGCGTGTCCATCGCAGGGGTAGGCCTACGTTCGAGGCTGGTCATTTTTCTCTCCGGGAGCAGTTCGCCGCGGGCCCGCGGGCCTGCCGAGGACGGCCGGCCCCTGCCCAACTCGGCCCGCCCTGCCCAACGCGGCGGGAGGCCCTCGCGTTCGGGGACCTGCCCTACCCTCGCGTTCGGGGGGCCCTCGCGTTCGGGAGACCCTCGCGTTCGGGAGGCCCTCGCATTCGGAGGCCCTCGCGTTCGGGAGGCCCTCGCGTTCGGAGGCCCTCGCGTTCGGAGGCCCTCGCGTTCGGGAGGCCCTCGCGTTCGGAGGCCCTCGCGTTCGGAGGCCCTCGCGTTCGGGAGGCCCTCGCGTTCGGGGGCCTGCCCCCCCTGACCAGCCTCGAACGTAGCCCTACCCCTAAGATTGACACGCCAAAAGGCGGTGACAATCTTAGGGACTCGCCCTCAAAAAATGAGGGGGGATCCCTAAGATTGGCATCGTGATGAGGAGGTGCCCAGCATAGGAATAGGGATATGTGCCAGGCTTGTAACCCCCCCTCCTCTCCGGGGTCTGCGCGCGGCGGGCTGTTCTGGTGCGGCACATGCTCGGGGCACCCGCCCTTCTCGGCCTGTCCCTCAGAGGAGGACAAGGCACCCATGCCGCTGCTCTTCGCCCGTTTTCCCCTCTCTGGGCCTCCTCGGAGGCCCTCGTCGCCGCCGTTGCAGTCGCCTGGAAACTTTGGTCAGAACGCACCCTGGCAGAGGTCCAGGAAGTGGCGGTGTTGATACTTCTCGGGAGCCTTGAGACGGGGGTCGATGCAAACGGGGGTCAGCCAGAGCGCCCGATCTTGCAGGATCTTGCGGGGCCAGGGTC